CTACAAAAATAAAATGGCTTTAATTTACTATTATTAAAGCTTTGTTTAGGTTTAGTTCAGACTTGAGGCTTGAAGTGAACTTGCAACCCAACTAACAATACATATCATGGTATATTTGCTACATGAGTGGGCCTACAACACTCGCTAAGCATAGCAAAGACAAACTGTATTATCTAGTCTTGCAAATTATATTAAATGAGATAGGATTGCACATGCTGAGCACGTAACTAAAAGCATGAGGTCTATAAAGAAAGAACCATCTAACGGTTAGTAAATTCAGCTTCTGTTTTAAAATCTGGCTTTGGCTGTACTGTCTGAGAAAAACATTTTTAATGTGCCTCCTGTTTTGATTTAGACCATGCAATGTGATTATCATTGTAAAGGATAGGATCTTCAAACACCGAATAATTAAACAGATAGGCAGGCATGGTTTTCAACCATCATGTTGATGTTTCAAAGCAGAAGCTAATGTTCTCAAAGTGTATATACACATTGCGAATCGCAGCTTATATATATTACAAAGGTTTCAGACGTGGCTTAAAGGTGGGGTAGGTAATTTCGGAGAAACCAGCTCGAGTGTGCTAGAATTTGAAAATACACAACCGGAGAAAATCTGCCACTTCCTTACAGAGCCCCTCCTCCAACACACACGAACGCGCACATGACCAATGAGGGCACGAGATAAGTCTGTGCACAGATGGAAGGCTGACAGGCAGGTAGGCCATCCAGTTATTTTAGCCGGGCCGGCTAAAATGATTGGTCGTGCTTTTTACAGTACTACGGCTTCCACAGATGAATTTTTTTATGTATTTTTTGTCAAAGCACTTAAGATATTCATTGCTATCGGGATGTTAAGAGCATTCCATGGAATATAACAAAAAGTGTATCTCGAGCCGGTTTCTCAAACTTACCTACCCCACCTTTAAGTGTGAAGTCAGTTTTTTGGGCTAGCAGCCGGCACTTATTCCACAAATGTATGTTTAAGGCAATTACTTGAATTTCTGTAACTTTCCATTACTCATATATACTGACAAATACAAGACCGCAATTGGCCAGTTGTTTGGAGGTTAGAAAGAAAGAAATTGTCTCTTAAACTTCTTCATCACTTGTATCATCCTGTATCAACAGGGTATGTGTATGATGGCAGATGTTCAATACAGCTATGTTTTGTCTCCAAAAAAAGTATTTTGATCAAGTAAAGTGAATTGTTTATACTTTATTATTATATAGTATGGCTTAGCAGGCCACACACACTGCATTGTTTTTATATTATTGGCTTGTTTTCCAAGCCCTCATATGATGACCATATTTATTTTGCTGAGAATTTGTCAATTTCCTCCTAATTCCAGTCCTTACTGTTCCTCTAAACAGATTGTCCTCAGTTTATCTCTTCGCTCTTGCCGCCTTCCGTCCTTTACGACCATTTACCAACACATCACTTGCTTCCCCAAAGGCTCAGCCCTCATCCTAGCATCCATTTCCCAGCGCTCCCTTTCCATCACAGCCCGATGCTGAGGAACATTGTTCTTGATTGCTTGGCAGATGCCATTATCCTGGGCTTATATCTTCACAATCACATTAGCCATTTGCACAGCTGGGTGCTTACTGAAGCAAGGCGGGTTAAGCATCACACTTGAGGCTGCAGAATGATGGAGACCCACCTGGAGCTCATAGGCCAGGACTCTCCTCAGCACCATGCATTACCAAAAACACTGATGGCCTTCCTTCAATTTAGCCACTGCCTCCATGCCTCCTCCCCCATCTTTCCTTCCTGCACTTCTCAGTTTCTCAGTTTATACTTCAGTCTTCTTTAACCTTCTTTACCCCTCCCTTGATTCCTGCGCTGTGATTTCTTCCTTCCTCCATCCTCCATCTATCCGTGCCCCCAGGCTCTGTCTATTTTGTCTTTTCTTTCCTCCACTTTCTAACTTTTTTGTCCCTAATGCTTTTTGTTCATTCCCTACTTAATCACCTGTATGGGCATAGTGGAGTAAAGGGACTGCAAAATGCTAAAATGATTCACACCCAATGAAAAAAGTAGAGAAAGGAGGATTAGGGAAGTTGGTTAGGTCACAGTGTCGTAACAGTATATAAAATACATTTGATATACTCTTTCTCTTTACAGTGGTGTTTATTTGTGTGTGTCTTGAAGTTATAAATGCTGTTTTTATTTTTGTCACATTTACTTTTCAGTAGATCACCTGATTAATCAAATAAATCGCTGTTTACTGACACCCTAACCGGACATTAAACTCAGTCAAGACAACCTCGTTTTAATCCATTAACATTACAGATGAGATCACACTTAAATGAAACATCAGGAAAAGGAGGAACAGATGGGTATAGGAAATTAGAGATTGCACAGATAGGGGCCAGGGGGAAGAATAAAGAAATCCCAGTGAGATAGAGACCAGCACATTTTCCCCTGGAATATTGCTCACGCCAGGAGTAAAGCCAGTTAGGAAATCAATATGAAGTCGACACGAATATATGAAAGTGTTGAGGCTGATTGATGATAACAAATTATCTAAATAATCAATAACGCTATACAGTAGCTGCTGTTCATGAATTAATCAGAGAGTCAGAGTCAAGGTAACAAGCCATGGTTACCTGTACTGCAAAATGCAAGCCGTGCTGCTGCAGAAGCTGCAGGAGGGAAATAAGCATACATAAACAGTGCATCACATGGTACAAAGTCGAAAGAACAACTGCACTCAATAACTTATGACACTGGGAAGCCTCTATTCAGGATACACACTTGTACACACAAAGCAGCTCATAAATATGCATCTGTGCCTCTGCTGCTTGAGACGGGTCCAGGAAACATATTAAATGTCACTCTCCAGATTTTCATCTCACTTTCATTGGCACTGTGTTGATGGTGAATGCAACAGGAAAAGAGAGATCATCAGTTTATGAAGAAATGGAAGAATCTGCTTCTTCTATGCAGCACTTTTCCGCTCTGAGTGCGAGGCGACAAATAGATGACAAATGTTTGAGTGGATGGAGGCGAGTGAGCCACCGGAGCTGCACAGAGAGGTGGTGGGACAGAGAGGGGGGAGAGTTGGTTGGAGAAAAAAAAAGTGATGGTACCTGCTCTTTCATCCGCCCCTTTACTCCAGTCGCCACGGCAACATGCCTGGCGGGCACTCAAGAGAGGCGTCATCACTGACAAAAACAACAGAGAGGCAGCGAGTGAGTGAGAGGAAACGAAAGCAAAATAGACAGACTGTGTGTATGAATGAGAGAAGAGAGGAGAAAGTAGGCAGCAGATCTACAACTGACTTTGAATACCTCACTCAAAGTCTGAATATGACCTTCAGGAACTCAGCTGAGAAGTGTAATGAACATTCATTCATCATTGGAGGTCAGGCAGATTAATGTTCGGACCCCTCAGCTAAAGTTTCACCAACAGCGTCTACGAACACGTTTATGGGTGTGAATATCCCTGATATCCCCTCAAAAAGGGACACTATTATGAGATATGAAATTGGCAGAGTTAATCAAACCGAGGCTAATGCTTAATATTTGGAATTAACTGAGCCATTAATACTGCAGGCTGACGTTAGGCTAGATAGAGTGGTTAAACCACCACAGGCGAAATTAAACAGGTTAATTAAAGTCTCCAAATGTTCATGCACTCTCCCTCAGTCTCTATTTCCCTGTGAAACACACACACGTACACACACATAATTACTCCCACACGTGTGTTATTACCATGCTTGTGATGGCCTTCCGCTGACTATTAATTGTCTTATATTAATCTGAATTCTAGCGCTTGCTTTAACCCTTAACTTATGCTGAATAGGGAATCTGAAATAACCAAATTTTTCAAAAATGTTTCTCTCCAGCAACATCAATAATAAATGCTCCTTAAAAAAAGAGCCAGCAGACAAAAGATACCACACTTACTTTTGTATAGCCTCATAGGGCTTTGCCCAGATAATAGCTGCTGCAAATGTACATGTTTTGTGTGTGAATGTGCAACCATATGTGAAACATAAACACTATGATGGAAAGCAAGTCCTTGACAGTAAAAGGCTGAGCAAGTTCATATTGGAGAATATTATAAAGTCCTGTTGCTGTGATTTGGCCAAGAGACAGGGTAAACTACACGATTTATCCTGACAAATTATAGCTTGCCGTTTCACAATCTCAAATTATGCCATTATTGGGTTATTGGTTCTTAGAATAAGACAGCACCATTACCACTCTGTTGTTTTTTTTCCCTTTTTAATTGTCATAGATTTGTACATAATCCTTTCAGTCCTTTTCTCTCGGTTTTTGGCAGACATTTGGGGGGGGGGGGGGTGGCATGTCTCTTCTGCCTGGGCAATTATGGGCCCCCATAGTGTCTTGCTGCGCCACTGAGCGTACCTATAGCCTACTTTTAGATAAAAAATACTTTATTAGATGTTACATGGGGGGGGGGTTGTGATTCTTAGCAGAATCTGAAGGTCAGTGCATAGTTTGATCCGAGGCCCCTTCAGTCTACATATTGAAGTGTCCTTTGGCAAGACACTGAACCTGAAATTGGTCTTGATGGCAGCTAGTGGAATGTGTGTGTGTGAATGTTGACTTGTGTTGTAAAGTTCAATGTGAGTGAATGGATAGACTGAAAAAAGCTCTATATCAAACCAGTTGATTTACAGTATTTGATCTTCTATGGTTGTAAAGGTTAGTGTAAAACTCACCTTTTATTGCGAAATCGTATACAAACAATAAAAACCTTGTATTAATGAATAAGTTTAACCTAAACCCTTACATTTAACACATGGAACCTTTAAGAAGTGTCCATGCAGTCAAAAACATATTTTCCGGATTATTTCTACTCTTACATTTTTTGAGAAAATATGTTCTGGATACGCAGATAAACACACACGGTGCATGTTTTGAGGGGGCGTGACAGCGGCAGCTCGCGGCCGTCAGAGGGCGGGGCAGCAGCGGGTTTGGAGCGGGTCTGTGGCGGTGTGTGTTGCGGTGTGTGCGCAGCGTGTGGCTGCTGCTGCTGGTGAGAGGAGCGCTTGGCACACAAAGCTTTCTCCGGAGATTCCAGCGGCTTTAAAGCTGTGCAAAGCGCAGTAAACACCGACCTCATCTCTCAGCTGTCACAATTGCCTTATCTGTAGCATGCCTGTGTTCTCCTCTAATGAAAGCAGAGCTGCCCAACCTAACAAGGAGTGACTTGAAAGTGCGCAGAGAGACAACTCCAAGTGAAGATGTGTAAATGGGTCTCGTCGCAATGGGATTCGAGTTGAAGTCACCCTGATTCACCCCGTTGTTAAGGTAACCGGGAACTTGAAAAGGCGTTTTCTGACCGCCGGGATGTTGTGAACGACACGCCGCCTGGGACAGAAGGAAGAGGGGAACCAGGGCTGGACGAGCACCGGAGGGATTATGGCTCTCGCAACGTTTTCTCTCAGCCTCTTCACGCTGGTGCTTACTAACTTGCACCTGTCGAGAGCCAACGACCGGCATGCGGTGTACTGGAACAGCTCAAACCTCCTGTAAGTGGCTTTCTGCAGCATTGTGTTAAACAGCAGATTAACTTGTATTGCTCTTTGTTGTTGCGCACATGATAACTTGTTTACAAAGAGAGTGGTCATCCTCTGCAGCCTTTCTTTTGTGTCCAGCATTAAGACCTTCAACCACTCAGACACCAACACTAAGCCAATTATTCCCCTAGGTTTAACTGTTCTGTTTTACGAGTAATTTATTAAATAAGATTGATGCATCTACAATCTTCTTTCTGTGCGCCCTGCTATAGAGGGTTTACATGAATATTTAATTGCCATCTTACATCTAGTCCCTCTTCTGCTTCACAATAATGACTCATTTAGGGAGTCATCTTTTCATTTCACCTGCTTTCAATTTGTGTTGTGTAAGTGTCACCTTACCTGCCTCACATCATTTTGCCCCTTGTATGTGAAATCTAATGGCCAATCAAAAGATTACCATTGTTTTCCTTTGGCTGTTGAATAATAAAATTCTATAGCCAGCATTCGGTTGGTAAAAGGTACCTTTTTGCATCCTGCATACCCAGCTCTAACTTCCATACATTTGCTTGAGTATGTACACTTGCTTGACACACACACACACACACACACACACACACACACACACACACACACACACACACACACACACACACACACACACACACACACACACACACACACACACACACACACACCCTCCCTCCTCCAACAGTAAGGTTGCTTACCTCAGGTAAGCTTCCCCTTGCTCTCCTGTCTCTCTCTACCTGTGAGCTATAAAGCCAACTCGCTGTGGGGCAGAGATCGATGTGGATTCTACTGCCTTTGTCTTCTCGTTAGCCAACAGTGAATCCATCTTTCTCACATTCTTTTATCTCCTTTCCTCACACAACCTCCCTCTTTGCACACCCATCCCCCCCCTCCTCTATCTGTGTTCCTCCCCTGTCCATTTGTATGCACCTCAGACACAGGTCTCTCCTATCGCCTATCTCTGTGTCTCATACTTGGTTATTTTTTCTTCCCTCTCTTATTTTTCTGCTGTGTCTCACCAGCCGGCCTGTCACGCTCAATTCCCTTTTTTCTGCATCTCATTACCGCCCCCCCATCTGCTCCTGGTCCCTTATTCACCTCCCAGGCTCTCAGTTGAGAGTATGTGTATATATACAGTAGATGATTTTAAATAAGAAATTGTATGAAAGCCATTTCAATGTATGTGGGGTAATTGAAATATTTGAAGGTTTCCTCAAGTCAAACAGTGAGGAAAAACCGCTATCAAACCTGATGGAAAAGTTCAAGGTGCTGCTGCAGCTCAGTCACTTCCTCATTAATGTTAATGTACGAAAAGCAGAGTCACATTCAGAAATATTTTAGATTTATGACTGCGGCTTATACCATAAGTGTGACATGAATAGAGAAGCGGTTTATTAACTGATGCATTTATGCTCTGTTAAAGTGCACAGGTTTTTTTGAGTGTCAAAATCTGAATTAGTCCTATATATCAATTTTAATTAGTCTTTCGCTGTCTGCTCAGTCTAAAATGATTTTCACAGCGTAGAAACGGTTGCTTAGTGTAGTCATTTATTACAATGTTAGCACATTTTGTGGGTTTAAATTGACATTCATGTGAAGAATAGGGTTTCATATTAATGAATAGTGTGTGTGTAGTGTGCATTGTGAGTGCAGTGTGCGAAAGAGAGGCAGGGAGGTCGGGAAGTGCAGGTGTGGGTCTACATGCCTGTATGTGCAAAACCTTTCCTTTCTCCACAGTGGGATACAAATCTCTAAAATAATGCAACAATTGACCCAGTTTGCAGGTAGCAGACAAATCCTCAGAGGCTATGGCAAGAATACTGATGGCCTTCAAGATTTAAAAGGCCTTAGGCTCGGGGCCACTTTTCCACCACACTATCGACATAGAGAACCAGCTGAAGGCCTCACTTCTGCAACGATGCAGCTCCCTCATCCAGCTCTGGTTATGGAGACAAATTCTGGAGGGACTGTAAGAAATGAAGGCAGCGACAGAGAGCCAGACACCAAAGGCCTTAAGGGCCACACTCTGGTTGGGCCCAGAATGTTTTACCCTTGAGCGCAGCATTCAGCACAGATGGTTATGGCACAGCTGCAAGAAATGGGATCATGGAAGCCAAGCTGTTTGTGCCAAAGCCATGGAAATGGCTTTTTATGATAATGCGCAGCGAGAAATGTCTTGCTCTGGTGTATTGAAAGTCAATAGGGGATTGTCACACAGTTGATACCCAGCAGTACCTTGTTGTTTGATTCGTTGAAGCTTTTCCTGGTAAACAACATCAGACGATGTTTTAAAAGCTTTTTTCCTTTGCCTTGGCCAATTTGAAGCAAGATGTGTCGATTAGCATAACCCAAAGAAATAGCTCAGAGTGCTTTGATTACCACCAAATCCGTCACGATCGCAGTACCCCCCATTAGAGTGTTGCTCTCAGCTTCCGCTCTCAGCAGTGCGCCTGGCCAACTCGTTACAGATGTCCCTGCTAATGGCTGACTGAGGCAGGAAAAAACACACACGCAGGCCATTGAATCATCTCGCATCTGAGGCCATCTGCCAATTAGAGGGGGGAGATGTGGAACATCTTGAGAGCATGGGGAGCAGCGGTGCACTGCGGTAGCCTCGCCTGCCCACCAGCAGCGGCCCATGCTCCCGTCACCTCCTCCCATCAGGTGTTTGGCCTCGCTGGTTAGACAGGCCACATGTCCATAATTGGGAACCACATTTCAGCATGATCAAAACATCAGTGCAGCTCTCATTTACTCTCCCACATCTTCCATAAGTCACACAGGGTGTCCACGGATGCTTACATCCTAGCAAGACACCAGAGTAAAGAGCCTTTGCACTGACGTGGGAGAAATCGCAATTTATTTATCTGTTAGGCATGAAATGATCCGCGGTGACATACACCTCTCTGTGTTTCATGCTTCACATTATGACCCTGATTTAGACGTGATATTGTGTCTGTCGTGCTCCTAGACCACATGAAGAAAAAAAAAACACAATCATCGTCACACCATATGTGGTGCTACAAAATAAATTATCACCTTGGCAAATAGACTCACTGAGAGTTCAAGCTACAGAATAATCTTGAGTCAAGGTGCCGTCTTACTCAACACGCATTACCCGCCAGGTCGCTCTGTGTGGGTGACTGCAGACCCAGAAAGAGTCGGAGCTGGTTCCCATTGGTGCAGAGGAGAACCCTGACACCCTTCAGGGAACGTTTTGTAGATATTTAGTTTAGCAGCATAGGGAATCAAACTGAAGAGAGGAGAGTGAATGATGAAGGAGGTGATGGCAAAAATAAATCAGAAAACAGTTGGAGGGAAAGAGAAGGATGCAAAGTGTGAAGAACATTACTGCAGGGAAGAGGTGGGCGTAATAGAGAGATTTGAGGAGAAAAAGCTGTAAAGGTTGAAACCAGAGCAGTCTTTCAGAGTAGGAAAGCAAGGGAAACATTGATAGAGGCAGCCTAAAGAGAGAAAGGGTGAAAAGGGGCGCGGGTTTCACCGGATATGGAAGTGAGGTTATTTGGCCGAATGCGTTGCAGCTGCTGTTTCCTGATGAGATGATACCCACAGGAGTTGATCCGTGCTAATGTGGACACAGGCCAGGTCATTCATGTGGACCGATGCTCAGAGACAATAGCTCCCCCATTCAGCCGCCCCTCTGACCCTCGCAACACGCCGCATGCCGCGCATACAGGAGAAGAACTGATCTGCTACCCGATTACATTCACGTCTGTCTGCTCGCAGCGCCGTCTCAGGGATGTCTTGGCAATTTTGCATACAAATGCGCCTTTTTCACTGCCATTCAATCTATTCTATCGCATTCCTTTTACCACATAAACAGCATTAGATAGTGTGTCGCTTTTCCCCTGGTTGCAGTTGTTTTTAATGAGAATGTGTGAATACCACTGATTGAAAATGCAAATTTACCTTTTATACGTTTTTGAATTAAACATGTCTCTCCATCTGTGATGAAGTATTTCTCTCTCGAACTATTCAAGTTGTTTGTGAGCATTTCAATTCTTTATATTCTTTATCAGGTTCAGACATCCAGAAGATTAGTTTGATGAAGAGGGCTCTTAAATGGATAGTTAACTTGACATTATCACCTGGCTTCATTATGCTGTAGATCTGCAGTGGTGTCTGGAAGCTTATTGGTCTGCTAATCGTTGTGCTGACCATTTTTAGCTGTGAGGAATCTGCTATGAGTCACATTAATGGAAGAAGAAATGCTGAAAGGATGTTTAATGGTTCGTATGGATCCAAGAGTGGGTGAGCGGATCAATACATTTATATGGTATGGCGAGGTGAATGGACCCTGGCTGCACAAAAACACTACAAGGTTGCTTTTTGAGCATCAATCAATCTGGGAGCATCAGGTGATCAATGTCCAAATGCATTTTTAATTGGATTTCATGGTGTCAGTACATTTCCATGAAGTATTCGGAGCTCAGCTCGGGAAGCTCAGATGAAGTACTGCCTTGGAACCGCATGCTAGAGAATTGATTATTACGGGGTTGTCAGTCATTGCTCCGGGGTTCATGCTCCATGGCGGCATTGACTACACTGAACAAGGTCTTGGTTAAGCAGCAGTGGCCGTTTCAGAGAAGGTTAAAAAACATAACGCTGAGGTAGGGCTGCTCAATTAATCGTATTTTAATCGCAATTACGATTTTGGCTTGCAACGATTATGAAAACAACATAATCGAAATAAAACGATTTTTTTTTTAAATTATTATTTTATTTTTTTTATTTTTTTTATTGGTTTTTCAGTTGAATTATAATTAAAGTTCAGGGTAATCAACTGTTAAAAACATACTGTTCAAATTTCTTTTTTCAATAAATGGATGTTTTCAAAGTAAATGGATAATCGTTTTTAATAATCGTGATATCAATTATTGACCCAAATAATCGAGATAATGATTTTTGCCATAATCGAGCAGCCCTACGCTGAGGATGGATTAAAGAAAAAGTTATTACTC